TAGCGTGCAAGAGCACGCCAAAAATACTCTCTGTCCTAAAATCCTAAAACCATAATTTAAATACTAGCTACACTCATTTACATTATGATGAGGAAACGGAAAGGAGTTATAGTAAAGCCTGCAATAAATAACTGATTAATGTTAATACTAATTTAAATAATAACCTTACAATTATTAGATAACAAAGAAATCCGGTAAGCTAAACGTCAAGTATTTTTATAAAGAAACAATGGTAGAGAAAGAGATTGTAGAGTCATTAGGTTTTCCTTTGGAGCAACAGAGGGGAAAAATGTGCAATGGCCTCGCCGGTCTCGAACTCTGGATCTCTCGAATACACGTCGGGTATGCTTCCAATTACACCACAAAAGCATGTGGAAAGGAGGGGAAAAATACCTTATATAATGCTCCCTTTTAAAAGGCACCTGGAGATTGGGGAATCGAATCGATAGATCCTGGTGGTGACGAATTTTTGTCCTCCATCTTTTTTTAGTTCAAGTGATACTGCAGAGTCATAAGGTTTTTAGAGATTAGGCGTTCTTTGCGAGAGGGGTGTAAATTATTCTAGGCCTTATGTAGGATGTCATAAGGAAAACTAATTCCTATTCTGAATGCACGTGAAAAAATCCACGAGAAGTCAGTGTCATTCTCACTTTCATTTCCTAGAAACTGACCCTTGAAAAAACTACTTTCTTAGTCACTTGTCTATAGGTAAATTTTCCAGATTAATAGCTAGCTTTAGTGCGCTTTAGTGCTCGTAATGGATTAAAACAAGCAAATAAATTAATTAGATTAAAAAAAGCAAATAAATTAATTAGATTAAAACAAGCAATTAAATTTTAGAAAAATAATTTAAATTCAATTCCGTTGCTAGAAAAAGTAATGCGGAAATCCATTTTGAATTAGGCAAAGAAATGAAACAATTTTAGAACTAGATAAATGAAATTAATTCCTTACTTTCCTTTTTTTTTTTTTTTTTTTTTTTTGTCTGCTTATTTTTAGTAAACCTTTCTGGAAATTACTCACTACTAAAGATTATCTGTTATTATCAACGATTACTTAAAAAAATACAAATAACAATTAACGCACAAAATATTATTATAATTTCGTTAATATATATGCGAATATATTTTGCGATTACTTTTAAATGATTTCTCTAATTACTGAAGTAACTTCTAAATGATGCATGGAAAAATTCTTTTATACTAATAAATTTAAACATAAACTGAAATTTTTATCCCAGGCGTAAATGTAATTAAACCAAAATGTAGTTTTGGGTGAATAAATTTGCAGATCCCTGGTATAAGGCTTTGTGCGGCTTGCAAGTACTGTAAGGAAATCTAATGATTTTACTGTGTAAAAACACCGTCATATATGGTTTCTTTGTCCAAAAATCAGTGCATGTTTCAATCAAATGCCTATGATTTCATTATTTAATTTAATTTTTAAAATCGCCTAATTCAGTACTTAAGAATCAAAAGTATTTTATTTCTTATCTTAAAGCAATTTAAATTCATTTAAATTTCTTTTTATTAATTTTTTATTCGAAACAGCTCCGTAGTGTAAGAACATTTTTCAGAAGTAAGGATAAATTATGTTGTATTCCATTCCCCTTCGGAGAGCTGCCTGAAGGAGAAAGGAGAATAAAAATAAATAAAATAAAGGAAAAGCATATTTTTACTTAAAACTACAACGAAACAAACTATTTAAATACCTCCCCCCCCCGAAAAAAAAAGGAAAGAAGGGAAAACTTCATTGCAAAATATTCTTAATTATTACAAAATACGAAGTGTAAACATATGATTAATTTAAGAAAATTACTTATATTCTTTAAGTATTAAAAAACAAATAATTTATGTTCATCTAAGGATTTTTACTAAACGCCTCGAAAGAAAACTCTTACAAGGTGTTTATTGTTTTCAGAAAGCGAATCTGATGTTCTGATAAACGTCAAATAAATGCACAGTTACGTCTATAGTAATGAATTTCTATTTTTTATCCAAAAAAGCGTTTAAATTGCTATGTGATAATTATTTATTATGACACATAACGATAGGTTTTCACTGTCATTCAGAAGAATTGTTTTTAACAGCTGTTTTAAAGCATATGATTTTACATTCTCTATCTTGAATTTTTGGAGAACTTGTTCTAAAATTAGTAACAGCTTAGCTAAAAATTGTTTCAAGTTCTAAAAAGAAATCTGCACACCAGATACAGTTTGGTATGCAGATTTTACTAGAAGATGAGGTTAATGATATTTATATTTCTTGAATTTCTTTTTATTTTGAAGCTTTATTCGTTAGTCCTTTATTCTGCGACTCTAGTCTACGGTTTTCAGGTTGTAATGTTTCTTTTCCTTTAATTCTACTTAGTCACAGAAAAAAAAACCGCTATCGGGATCTATTTTCTTCGTATCAAAACTCACTTTTTTGAGATAGATAGCTGGAATCTTTTCAAAGAACGCAAATAAGCAATGTTTGAAAAAATTAGCATCCTGCGATTATTTCAGTTTTAACTTCAACTAGGCTCCTAATGTAATGTGGTATTGGTTTTAATTCATAATATAACTCAGAAATACACTTTTCTACTCATTTAAAAATTTTTATATCTTTTCATAGACTCACTTTAACCACACTGGCAAGAAATCCTGTGAATACCCCGAGAGTTCATATCCAGAACAGAGTGTTTGAGTATGAGCTGCGAATTTTATTGACAGAAAGAGAAAACGACTCAAAAGTAAAATTACTATAAAATACGTACAATTTATAGCTAATCGATGGAACGAAAGGAAAGAAAAGAGAATTCTTTTGATCTCCTGATTCGACAGGGTGCTTTTCGATGGATCGAGATGAAAATGATTTAACTGCTTGATCAATAATGTAAGGTGAAAAGGCTCTGCCAATAGCAACTTCTTTTAAGTAATTTAGTTCTTCATCTAAAACCGATTTGGAGAACTAAGCTTGAAGTGCACGAAAAATGGTGGAATAAAATGAAGCTAATTACTGTTTTTTTAGTCAAATGATATGATGTGAAGTATGGTGGAAGACAAACAGATGAATTTTATTTCTCTCGCCTTCTTAGCATGCCTTCGTAGTTTAATAGTAGTAGTTCGTAGTTCAGCATGATAAGAGCGTATCGAGAGGTTCGTGGTTCGAGTCCCGGCGAGGGCGTTACTCATTTTTCATCTCTCCTGTTTCGAAATAACCTAATGTCTCTACAGTGGCTCCCGAAATAGAAAAGGTGGTGGATGATGATTCTCCACCACCAGGATTTAGCCATTGCGTCCCCTAATCTCCAGTCTCCCCTTTAATAATATAAGGTATTTAAGGTATTTCTCCCGCCTTCTTAGCATGCCTTCGTAGTGTAATGTTCAGCACGCTCGGCGCGTACTTGGCGGGTCCGAAGTTCGAGTCCCGGCGAGGGCACTGCTCATTTTTTATGTCTGCTCCTTCTAAAAATCCTAATGACTCCACAAGGTTTACGGTAATCAGCAGTATTGAAGTTGGATATGTTGCGTGTAACCAAGATTTCGAAAAGCGGTTGAGAACTGGATGTATCAAGTTAAAAAGTGAATTGAATAACAGAATCAATGGAATTCATCTTTGAAAGAAATTTAAAATCATCTTTATCACAATCAAAAAGGGTAAAAGTATCGTTAACGTAGCGAAACCCTGCAAGGAAGTTTAAAATTTCAAGTAATTTATCAAGTTTCAAGTATAATGCATATAGCTATTAGCAAGAGAATGGAACTATGAAGGCTTTCCATGGCTAATCGTCTGTTTGGCGAAATTCTTATTTTAAAAAACAAAATGTGTTTGTTTCAGACAGAGGTTTTCAAAATTAGTATAAAAAATTAAAATAAGATAGAAACTAGTCCTGCAAATTTATAACTATTATGCTAGTTCTTGCTGCTTTAACTTTTGTTAATTTAAATAACTTTATTTGGAAAGGTATTCATATGATACTGTTGTTATCACGAAGAGGGTTAACAGACAGTTAAGTGTATTTTTGTATGGTATTTTAGTATTTTAGACGTACTGTCTCACTTAGTTGAAATGCATTATTCATTTCATTTAAATTTTTTAAGTATTTTGCGACTTTGCGCAACTAAATTGAATAACCACATTATCATATGACTCAACTACATAAAGGATATTTATAGAAAGCAGAATCATTTTATATTTTCGCGTAATCATTTTTTTTTTATATTTGACATTCAGGACAACAAACATAGCTTTGTTTAAAGTAATTTTTTCATGGTCTTCCTAAAGAATTGATAAAACTAACCTAAACATATGTAATAATCTATTGCGGTATACTGTAATATTGCAGTTCTTTCAAATGTTTCGCAATATAAAATAGATTACTACATTCAGTGTGACTAATCATTAACATATAAACGTCTCTATACTCTAAATGAAATTTTAACCATCAGTATTTCTTTTATAGAATTAATTTTAAAGTTATTTTAATTTACAATCATTAAGCTTAATTTGCTTGCGCCATTTTTACTGCCACAATATCATCACAGGCTTCTGTAAATAAAGGCGACATAAAATTTTTTATTTTTATTCAATGTATATAATGAGAGTATTATAGACATTTTGTTAATCGGGAGATTAACTTCTAAAATATGTGTTTATCTTCAGTTGGCTAGTGATAAACACATTCTCTAAAGAATATATGAACAAACAAATATCATGCATGATACAACTGCTCAGATGAAGGAGTCTTGATATTTTAATAATAGCAATATCTTTAAATTTATTTATTTTATATTTAATGTAAATTAGAAAATTATGTGATACAGAATTTGGACACTTTCCCGTCTACGTTATATATCAAGTAAATATCTGCTCAACAGAATTCCTTATATTCAGGATTCAAAGTAGAAGATGAAACAACAAATATTATTGTTTTGAATATATTTCATGCTTTCCTTTAAATTAAAAATTATTCTTATGTCTCAAATTTATTCTAAAAATATATGTATTCCTCTTCAGGACGCGAACGACACCGACGAATAAAAGATGAAGGATAGAGGTCCGTGGAGGATTCCGGCAATCTTCCTGCTATTTGCCGCGGGTAAGTTCACTTCATCTAGATTTTCATCTACTTTTTCTATTGTCTACCGTGTACTTGGCCTTGTGCCTTTTACGGTAAGATAATTCAGTTTGTTTAATATGGTGATGTACAAGGAAGGAAGATACTGTTGTCATTGTATTACTTAAAGATGGAGTTCAATAACTAAATGATAAGAAACCTTTTGTTCTGCTACAGGAACTATGTATTTAAAAGTATTTTGCGTACTTAATGTCATAGGTGCAAAGAGATATGAGATATGACGGCTGATTAAATACACTCTGTTTTATACTTTTGTGAGGGCTATCTGAAATTTTTAAGCAATTTTTTTTTAATTTCGTGTTGATTTGCAGAATATGGAATATATTCAAACTAATTAATGAAGAAATTGAAATAATTTTGAAAAATGTATTAAGTGTATTCTTAGATACATAAAAACCTATTATACTTTCATACTATTATACTTTCACTTTTTTTTATTTTTTTATATGTATTTAAAAGTATTTTGCGTACTTAATGTCATAGGTGCAAAGAGATATGAGATATGACGGCTGATTAAATACACTCTGTTTTATACTTTTGTGAGAGCTATCTGAAATTTTTAAGCAATTTTTTTTAATTTCGTGTTGATTTGCAGAATATGGAATATATTCAAACTAATCAATGAAGAAATTGAAATAATTTTGAAAAATGTATTAAGTGTATTCTTAGATACATAAAAACCTATTATACTTTCACCGGGTTTACCATATCATCTGTAGGAATAGCAATAGATGGTTATTTAATGGAATTAAGTAATCTAAAATGCTTACTGAAAACATCATGAATTATATAATGTTTTTTGCGCATTTATTTACAACAATTTCTCATTCAAGCAGCACATTAAATTTAAAAACTAATGATTATACTTTGAGTTTCTTATTCAAAAGATTTCTACATTATTTAGAATATATCGTTTCGCAACTATTATGCAGTATAGTAGGAAAAAACTTATTTTACTGACAGAAGAAGAAGATCCAAATTGAGGATAAATTTCCGTTAATAATTTTCTCACATTTTCTAAGATTTATTTATATTTACATAATAAATTAGTTCTCTGAGTAAGTGTTTCATTCCATTGACCACTAACTGAAAAATTACAAAATTTCATTTATTCCACGTGGCTTTCAGATTACTACTCTATAATGGACAAACCAATGAGTAGTTTGCAGTACATTGGCTACGTCTGTAGAACTATATTTGAATTATTATTTATATACAAACTATATTCTGCTTAACTGAGCCCAGCCACATATTGTGTTTTTCCTAGATACTTGAATCTACTGTATCTGTTCTTGTATTGTTAGATTTGAATGAATGCGGGCATTTTTAAATGGACAAGAAAACCTGTTACCCTTTAAATAATTCCTCAAATTGTTTCAGTTTCATAACTATTTTTTATTGAATGGTATTGCTTGTTTTGTGGTAATTTTAGTCAATAAAATTTAAGCTCAAATTTAAATAGCGGAAACTTTTTATTATGATTTTACTACTGTGCTGATATGCATCTGACATTTATTTGGTTACTATTAATAATGTATCAAGTATTAGCTGGTGGTAAACAAATTTCAGGTTTCCATGATCTGATCTGTAATAATTCTAAATAAATTCTATAAAACTGAATGTTTTATTTCTTAAGAAAAATCATTTATCAAATATTATAATAAATTTTAGTAATACACGGGCTTCTAAATCTGTAAAACTATAAATCCTTAATATCTTCTACTAAAAATGTGTACTTTATACTAAATGTATACTTTTTAAAGAACCACCGAATTATGCAGAAAACAATTTCAGACTCGACGTATACTTCTACGGCAAATATTATTACTTACATTAACGTTAAAAACAAATAAATATAATCAGTTTTCATAATTACGATAGACCGTATTTAAGCTAAGTATGTAATTTTCTAGCGTAGTCAGCATTAAAATCGTAACATCGAGTTTGAATTTTTTTCTGCATAATTCGGTGTTTCTTTAAAAACTCAGTTATATACATTTAGTATAAAGTACACATTTTTAGTTCGGACTATCAACTGTAATCATCTTTTTATCTAAGAAATAAACGAGATCGTCATACTAGCCCTTGATGAAATGAAATGGTTCAGTAACGGTGCCAATGCATATTTGTAATATGATTTTAGAGAAAAAGGCGTACTTACAAAGATTCCTAATATTAAAACAGATGTTATAGCTCTTCGGGATAAATCAAGAAAATCGCAATGTAATGCAGAATTTTGGCTGATAGAAATTCATGTGCGCAGAAACACACGAAAGTGATTCTGCAATCGAAATTTTGAAGATTAATAAACAGGTACCATGATAGCAAAGTACATCTTTACTTACTTTACATGACATCGGTGTACATGTGTGACTTTTACAGATTAACAACCATGCATTTGATAATATGCCCTTTCATTTCCAGCTCTTCTAAATTCAGTAGTTTAATTCATAGGTAAATGATATCATATAAGAGGCTGTATGCTTTCTATATCATACTTTTCAAGTTTCACCTATACCAAAACGTTTCAAAAGACAATGGGAAGACTGTTTACGATATATTCACGTGCTATCAATGAATATCATTGTCAGAGAGGGTATGGTTACCGATGAAAACACTGCACACAAAATCCTCATGAAAAATGTAACGCGAAAAGAAAACATCATGGTAAAAAAGGCAGCAAAATATTTCGAAGTTTTGAAATTTTATCGTAAAACTATAACTTGCAAAATATCATATGGCGTGAAATTTTTTTTATTTCATTTTTTTTCAAGCTTTAAAAGTTTCGAAAGTATGTTCGGACTTGCAATTTGTAATATGTAATGATTTCTGAACACGAAAACAAAAGAGAAATATGTTTACAATAATTTTTCAGATTTTTCAAATTAATTAATAATTTTTAATTTGAAAAATCTAGAAAAAAGTCAGGTATCAAAGTAAAAAAATTCCAGGTTGTAGAATTACATGTAAAAGCAATCAAAAGAATTGTAAACTAATATATTTAGGTATTTAGAATTAGAATTTAGTTAAATTTATTATAACTTAAAGTGTATATTTGTAAAGTTTCAAGAAGAAATATAATATTATAAAGAATTATAAAATATATCTTTTACAAATAATTGTATATTTCAGCCTTCTCAATGTAGGATGACCCAAGGTAATGACCCTTCATAAACCCCTTTTCTTTAATGTATTGCAAATGAAATACTATCTAGTTGTCCTCTCAGGTTTTTCAATAAGAAACAATCGATAGACAAGCCATTAACAATAAGAACATATTAATGAAATTACACAATGAGAAGAATAAACAGAAGTAAAATAAAATTCACTCTCTTCTGAAAAATTGTCAGAGAAAGGAAATAATTTCATATTTCGATAATTAATTAAACAGTTTTACTATAAGCAGTTTTTATATGCAACTCATTTTATGTTATATTACTGATTTTTTTTTTTTTTTTGTTATTTTTTTCCACATTTTTCACGAAAGTGTTATTAAATTCTTACAAAAACGATTCCTTAAGCTAATTACGAAAATTAAATTTCTGCTGACTGCTCCGCGTAGTTGCAATTTTTGCTCTTTCCACTTTTGAATGATAAAGCTTCCTTCTTGACTTTTCAGCTTAAAATAGTAAATCATTCAAAAAAGAATATTTAATAACAGCAAATTATTCCTCATTCCTTTTCCCGTTCACAAATCATAGCATAATGCTACAGTGAACCTGCTTCTGGAATTTTCGACGTATAAAAGCTCACATCTGGAAAGTTACCATCATGCAGTATTTTTCAAGTTACTGCTCTTTGTTTTATCACGATGACCATGACACTGTTATAGTTTGTTTTATCACGTGATGTTATTTTAAAGCTGCGAAGTCGTAATTTTATTTCTTACTTCGGACTTTTCTTCATGTTTTCTTTTTATTAGGATATTTTGTTTCATGTTATTTTCCTTCTCGTTGCGCATTTCGCAACCTTTTTGTCCGCAATGTTTTCGGCGGAACCTAAGAAGTTTCGAAGAAGTAAAAATTATATATCAGCAATCATGGAAAGTGGAAAATGAAAGTTTGGTGAGGCTTCACTATGCATACTCAACAGCAAGAGATCACTTAATAGTAAATTGTTGCTGTTGAATGAACAAATGAACAAGATAATTTTCTTAATGCATCCATGAGAACTCAAAATGATAAACCGTCAGCAATGGACTTCGATATGCACATTCTGCTCACAAGAAAGAGTGCAGTTTTTCTTAAGCTATGCTGTGAATAGAGTTAAGAAACAGATTCAGTATACTAGTAATAATCGACACTGTAAAAAATGGCTGAGACCAAAAGGAAACCAGGCCTTAAAGAAAACGCAGAATTGAATCCAAAGGAGACTTTTCTCTGCATATGGTAGGATATGAATCTTATGATTTATTCTGAATACCAACAATAATATAGACATTTCGTATTAAAAGTTAGAACATTTGAAACAAATTTAAGCTACTAGACAACCTGCATTAGTTAAAAGATCTAAAGTAATTCCTCAGCATAATAACACTCAGTCACATAGTGAGACAGTGGCCCGACAAAGCTTTATAATAAAAACTTCTTCCTTATCCGAATTCAGATATTGGTCTTTCTTTTATTACTTTTTCATAAATCTGCAGCATTGTTCATTTCAGTAAGCACTTTCATCAGGTAGAAAGAAAATTTTATAAATTAATATTTTGCTACAAAACTAACTACACTTCGAAATAGGGATTCATCATCCGTCTGAAACATGGGAAGACGCCGTAGTAAATCTTAAATACTGCTATATTAATAACGAAATTTATCCAACAGCATTTACAGTTTGGAGATTATTGTTTCAATACTGCATTATTCTCCGATAAACCCAATGCGATGTAAATAACGTTGCAAACAGTAGACTGGATTTCAGTTTTATTAGAAGCTTTACCTGAAATGAATTATGATGAACTTCAT